AAGTTTAGGGGTTTAGGGGTTTGTGTTTAGGGTTCAGGGTTTAGGATCTAGGGTTGTGGTTGGGGCCGGTTTTTTTGTTGGAAGGTTTGCCCAAGCTTGGTTTGGCCTATGCCTGGTCCCCTGGTCTGCTGCTCCCCTTGGCTTTTGATTTGCAGCAAGTCATCGGGGGAAGTCCCATTTGTAGGGTTGTCGTTTGCAGCAGCCCCAAACCCAAGTATCCCAAACCCAAGCTCTGTGTCAAGTTCTTCGGGAGCTCCGATGTGCAAGCGTTCGTTTTGCGCTTTTCGGGGATTTCAAGTTGTAAAATCTTGTCTTGCTTCAAGCTATTCGGGGAAATGCAATGTGGAGGGGTCGTTTTGCCTGAAGCTATTCGGGGTAGTTCTCTAAGTTGCGGGTCCTTTTCTCGGTCCCTGAACTAGTACGGCACCCTTTTTAAAAGGGACCCTAAACGGGAGCCTAATTTAGAGAACTACTGGGTTCTTGTTAAGGGATTTAATTTAAGTTACCATACTGGAGATCTATAGTAAATAATATGGTTTCCTTATTATGGCAACTTAAATTAAATTAACAAGAACCCAGACTAACCATCCGGGGATTTCGATTTTCCTGAAACGTTTTTTTATTTCTGCTCAGCGGATCCTGCAGGATGGCAGCTGATCGATGACAAGGTTTAGGACATTGGGTTTAGGGGTTTAGGGGTTTAGGGTTTCAGGGTTTAGGGTTTAGGGTTTAGGGTTTAGGGGTTTAGGGTTTAGGGTTTAGGGGTTTAGGGTTTTAGGGGTTTAGGGATTTAAGGATTAGGGTCCTCTTTTCAGTCCCTGAAATGGTACGTCGCCCTTATTCAATAGTACCCTAAAAGGGACCCTAGTTTAGAGAACGCATTGTTTCGGGGTCTAAGTATTTACCACTACTATTTTGGGGCTTCCTTATTCTACTTATAGTGTAACACATATACACCAAAACCCTCTTCTAATCATATATAGGGGCCTAAATAACTACCAAAACTATTTTTATATTGTAGGGGCTCCTTATCATACTAGTATGACATACCCCAAAAACCAGTCTAGTTATTAAGGATTCAGCGGCTGGCTGCTAGCTTAAACCTTCAGCCTGTCGGGCCCTGGCCCTCGACGTAAGCCCCAATCCGTGGTGCTGTTTAGAGTTCAGGGTTTCGGGTTTCGCGCAGACTTCTTTTGGGGAGCTAATGGTGGGATTTTGGCGTCCATTTTCGGTAAAGTTCGGAACCAGTGCCCTTTCGGATTTTGGGCGAGGCTTCGTCCTACCTTCATAGCTACACTGCTGATGTTTTGTTTCTAGTCCTACACCCTAAACCAAATACAACCTTGATCTCTCTTCTTCTCTTGCGTTGTTTTACTATGGTATCGAGACCAGTGCTTCCGGCACTTGCCGTTGCTGGCTGCCCCTTGGCTTCTTCTCACCTCGATTACTTGAGCTGCCGAACCTTCCAAATAACATGCTGTTCTGGTTTAAGCGGTTTAGGTTTTAAGGTTCTGGGTTCTGGAGTACCATACTTGAATACTTTTCTTTTGGACCTGTTCCTTAAGGGAACCATTATGAAATTAAAGTCTATACTTTTTTCTCCCTGGTCACTTCAAAGTCTAGGGTAAAGAGTATGGGCATAGGCCAATGTGAACACTAAACCCTAAAACAACCGTCCAAAGCCCTGAGATCATGCCGCGCGAGCGGATCAAAGCCCGTCAGCAGCTCCCAAGGCCGCCGCACTTTGGTTAAGGGTGGGTGGAGGGTGGAGAAGAGTAGTTGTGTGTTTAAGCTAAACCCGACGAAATCCTAAACGCTTAATCCCAGGAAGCCCGAAACCTTGGGCCCTAAACCCCAAACTTTGAACCCCAAACCCTAAGCCTTTCTTAAAGCATCTAACTGAGTGTTCGTGGGCTGCATGCACTGAGAGCTTCCCCAAGGAAGCTCTCGGGCCTCTTCTACATTTATGCTCGCATGTGTATATACATATATACATATACAAATACATGTACGTTATATTGATATATATATATATATGTGTGTGTGTATATATATATATATGCACATACAGATGTACACATACATACATTCATACATGCATACTTACATACACAGGTTTCTATACATATTTACATTTGCATGTGTGTTTGTATATATACCATGGTCCCTGCCGTTACTGAAAGTCTGTCCTCCTGTCGTCAAAGTAAAGTATATAGGGAACCCTAGCAATGCTGATCATGACTTATCATCCTTGGTGCATGTTCCAACTCCCTAAACCGAAACCCCAAACCGTGAAGCGCTAAACCGTGCACTATACCCTAAACCCTAAAACCTTGCAGCAAGACACGCTTCCGAAGGCTCCAGAAGGAGCTCGAAGATTTGGCGGAGGCTGGGACATCTGTCCGTGGGTTTATAGGGTTTACGGTGGAGGGTGTGGGTTTTGAGTTTGTATGCGGTTTAGGGTGGGGTATAGCGGCTTAGGGTTTGCGATTTCCTGTCGCATCGAGGGTTGTGGGAGACTGGGGATCCACCTAAACCCGAAACCCTTCTTCTCATATGGGTAGTTCTCTAAATTAGGTTCCCTTTTAGGGTCCTTTTTTTGTAATGGTGCCGTACTATAGTGGGTTCAAAAAGGGACCCTAATTTGGAGAACTTCTCATATAGCAAGGTCCTACTTTTCAGATCCATTCGGCGTGTTTCGGCAGTCACATCAACTAGCAAATATCGAAGACATGTTGGTTTTACATATGTCATATGAATACACATATTCATACATATAGTACATGTAAAATACATATATTTACACACACTTAAACATCTACATATATATATATATATATACATATATACATATATATATATATATGTACGTACACATGCCGCATACATAGATGCGTATTGATATCCGCGTCTTGCTTAGCTTGCTTCGATTATGTTCTGTGTTTCTACCATTCTAAGAATGTTCGTCCACGAAACCAATCACGACCAATGTCATTCACCATGTCTCGGGTTTTAGGTAGGTTTCACGTCAATTAAAGCTTCTGAGTTGGTAACGATGTGGAGGTGCAAAGTTTAGGGTGTGCCGCGAACAGAACAACATCACTACCCCCCTTAAACATCGGACCCTAAACACTAAAACCCTAAACCCTAAAACCTAAACCCTTAACCCTAAACCCCTGATCGTTTTTGGCAGGAAGCCCGTGTGAAGCGTCTCCGGGAGCTTGGCCAACCCGTCGACGAAGGGGCCTATACGAAGGATGCAGCGCTCACGCCGGCTTGTTGCCTTAACCCTCAATCTAAGGAAAGAATTATGGGCCCCTAGTATGGACTCTTAGGCCCTTCTAGGGACCCTGAAGAGTACATATAGAGTATATAGTAGGTGTATAAGGATCCCAGGGTTAAGGACCCATACTAGGGGCCCATGGTTTCAACCTTGGACTCAGCACTAAGCCGTAAGCCCTAGGCCAGGAAACCCAAAGATCTAGAAACTTGAAGGTTTAGGGTTTAGGGTTTGGGTTTAGGGTTTAGGGTTCAGGGTTTAGAAGCCTTGCAACCTACCACCTTCGACCACAAACCACCTTAAGGGTTAAGTACGGGACCCTAATGTGGTCCTGATGCCGAAGCCTGAAGACTTATATGCATCGGGGGATGCGGAATTGTTTAATGGTTCTGTTCGTATCAGAACCTTAGTCGTACTGCTAAGTCGTACTGCTAGTGCTGCAAGACTAAACACATCCAGGCTACGTGCACCGTCTCTTTGACTTCTGCGCTTTGGTATATAAGACATGCGAGGGGTTTTGTTGAAACACCTGCTTGCTTCTTGCTTACGGTTCAGGGCCGACGCTGTTGTGCGCAGCTCCAGCTTTTAAGGTTGTTTTTTTCAGAAGGGTGCTGCTATCAAGGATTTGGGTGTAGGAGCTGCGTCGATTGGCGTTGTGTTTGGCAGTGCGGTTAGTACTTGGTCACATCCATGGTTAAGTTTGCAGTTCGAACTTTGCAGAACTTTTGCAGCAGCAAGGCTGAGGGTTTTGTCAGAATTTCCAACGGATTATGATTTAAGTTATTGTTGCATCGTTGGTATGGAGCCCAGAGGCACGCTGATATGCGTGCGAGGTGCTTGTTTCTCACATTGTGGATTGAGGTACATGTTCCCTAAACCCTAAACCCTAAACCCTAAACCCTAAATGTTGAAATTGGCTCTGACATGCCTGCACATCTTCGAAGCTGCGAGTTGCTGGAGCAGCTGCAGCACAAAATCCCGACAAAGCCATGGCGAATTTGCTGCTTCTAGGTATCCGACACCGGTCTCGCAGGCAAATTCTAAATTGTGCATCGCTCTATGCTACAAAACCCTGAAACTATGAAGGCCTATAGGCCTTAAGCCCCAAAGACATCCCATAGACCTTAAACCTTGAGCCCTAAACCCCTGAGCGTTTAAACCCTCAGTCAAAGTTTCGATACCTTCCACCGAAAACCACTATCCTTGTAATTAGAAACCTACGGTTTTGGGCTTAGGGTTCAGGGGTATAGTTTCCATATCGTAAGCCTTTTAACCCTCATAGTAAGTAGCCCAGCCAAAACCCGTACACCGTTATAGAAGGCTTAATTATATCCAAAAAAGCTTATGAAAGGAAAGTTTAAAGCTCTGAGCTTTGCTAGACGCCCTAGAACCCTAATGTCCTTGAGTGCTAATACCTACCAAACTGCGACCGCACCCTAACTACAAGTCCTAATGGTAACCCTAGTCAGTACCCTTATAACAGCCACAAAAAAGTCTTGCAATACCCTGACATTACCTTATATTGAATGGTGCTAACCGCCTGGCCTAAACCTTTAACCGAGAGCCTTGTGACCGAAGCTCAAAGCCTTCAACCTCAAACCCGAAAATGCCCTAAAGCCACAAATCCTCATCCCTAAACCCTAAGCCCTAAACCCTAAACCCTAAACCCTAAACCTAATCCACCCCTAAGCCCTAAAGCGGAGAGGAAAGTCGCAACGAGATGTACCTCGAGCTCGCCGAGCAGAAGGCGGAGAAGGCCCGCCGTTTTTAGATTTCCCTGAAAAAGCTTCATTCCCAAAGGCTCCATGTACTCATATAGTAGATAAGGATACTTAAGCCTTAAAGTACCTATTTAGAGACCCCTTTAAGGCCTAAGTATCTACTATAAAGGTACATGGAGCCTTTGGGATTAACGGGTGCTACAAGGCATAATAAGAGGCCGTGGGTAGTTTGTCAGGGTTTTATAGCCCGATAGGGTTTTGTGCAGGTTTAGGGCGTAAGGTTTGGGTTTGCTTGGGTGTATATGTGTGTGTGTGTGTGTGTCTGTGTGTTTGCTTTTGGGGGCTTGAGCGCTTAGTCGGCTTAAGTGTTTAAGTTTTGAGCTTCGGTAGTCAGGGCTAAAGGGTTTAGGCTGCTTGAGGTTTATATAAGAGTTTAGGAGCCGGAATAGTAGCACCAACACTGGCAGCAACAGTAGCAGCGGCACCAGCAGCAGAGCGCTCTGTATAGCTTGGCTGGCATCGAAACTTCTGCCCTTAACAGAGCTTTTGTGGTCTGAAGCGGCTAGCTCGTGACTACGGGTAACACGACACCCCTGAATTGCTATCGTCACTTTCGAGCACGAGCTGTAAAGTTGCGGCACTAGCTTGAAGAAGCTCTGCAGACGTTTCGGCTTGCGAGCCACTTCACTTCAGTCCCTAAGTAAAGTAACCCCTAAACCCCTAAGCCAAAACCCTGAACTACTCTCACAGGAGCGGAACGAACGTCGGAGAATGGGCCCTTCGCTCGGAAATGGGGTGGAGATCTGGGTATAGGGCCCTTAACAATTAGAGTAGGCTTTTGGGGTATAGTATACCGTAGTTGCCATTAAGAAGCCCTAGACTAGTATTGCTAATGATACGAGAGCGGGTTTGAGTTTTTCAGTTGGGGGTCTAGGGCTTAGGTGGGGCTGACAATGCATGGGCAGATTGCTTTGTAGCTTTCTTGTATTTGTTGTAGCTAGCAGTAGCCCAGGAAGAAGCATGCGCGATATGGAGGTTGGGATACTCAGTAGTAAAATGCCCTAGAACCACGTTCGAATGATTCAGGCGCCTATAGGGGACTGCTTCTTGCTTTGCACATCAAGTCGTCCATCAGCCAGGTATACCCCTACTCGCTCAGGCCCCTACGACAGGGGCGGCTAGGACCCCAATGACAACACCGTTACGGTCAGCGGGAGGATTGTAAGAAGAGCACGGCACTCAAGATCCGCGCGGCAAGCCCTCTTTAAACAATAAGTTATGCTCCCCGAAGAAGAGCGGCCTTATCGCTCAGAGACCGGGCAGGAACCCATATAGCGAGCCGTATAGAAGTCCTTCCCGGAACCTTAACGCATGACCACCTTTAGGATTTGACTCCGAGGGCTTAGCCTTTGGGGTTTAGGTGTGTTCAGTTCTCGTTTCAATGCCTGTGATTTGGGCTGATTGGTTGGTGGATGTTGCCCATAGGAGTTGATGGGTGGTCTTCCCTTTTCCTCGCTGTCAGCAGATGTTGCTGCCAGGTTCTTGTCGGTTCTAGTTACAGTCGGCGGCGTAGGGTTGGGAAGGGTGTACGGGAACTGCGGTTCTCTGAAGGAGCGACAGATACGAGGATGTTGCCTAAGATAGAGGATGACGACCCGAAAAAGCACGAGCGGAGCCACCCCTTGTGGCTCGATAATATAAGGGGCTTAAAAATTAGAATAAGGTTTTGGGGGTTGCTTATTATGATTATACTGTAGTATAATGGGCCCCACAGCCCTGTTTTAATTCTTAAGGCTCCTACTTTATCGACTTGGGACAACGACTGGTAACGATGCTTGGTGAGTGAGTGAGGGAGGGAGTGAGCGAACCGGGCATCCGCGGCAGATGCCAGTGATGACGGGTAATACAGGGGCCTTAGTAATTAGAATAGGGTTTCAGGGCATATTATACTAAAATTATAATCAGGAACCCCCCCAAAAAGACAACGTAGGTAATTATTGAGGCCCCTACATCATTGCAGCATGCTGCCAAAGATGTTTGCATCTACCAGGTTCCAGAACGAAAGAATGCGCACGACAGATTCCCCCTGAAACCCTTCACCCTAGCAAGTCTCCAGAAAAGCCTCAAAGGCGAAGGCAAACCCTAAACCCTAAACCCTAAACCCATGGTTTTGGCAGAGGCGGCTTGCTTGAGACGTGAAGGCCAAGGCTCCGAAGGCCCAAGTTCCTCAGTTCAGTTCGGTCGGTTGAAGCTCATGTGCTCACAGGCGCGCATGGCGCATCTGAGCTTGAAGTCGTAAAGCTGCAAAACCCTAAGCCCTGAGCCCTGAACCCTACGCCGTAATATCAAATCCCTCGAACCTCAAGCCCATCCAGCAACTTAATCCTTTCCTCTGCGAAGCCCAATTAATGCTTGACGAATACAGAAGCCTGAGTAATTACTAGTATTGCTGTTAGGGTTCCTTCTTTTAATAACACTATAAAGGAGCCCAAAACCCTATTCTAATCATTAAGGCCCCTACATTTAGGTGCTTCGGGGATCAAGGGTGCTACCATCAGGAAATCACCCTCATAACTGCTGAAGACAGAAACTTGTCGCTATACCTATAAAGCTCTAAGCCCCAAATCCTAAACCCTAAACCCTAAACCCTAAACCCTAAACCCCTAAACCCCTAAACCCCTAAACCCCTAAACCCTAAAACCCCTAAAACCAAAGCCACGGCCCTTAACTGAAGGTACCGAGCCGAAGGAGCCCCGAGTCGTGTCTGGACCTTACATCCCCCCCGGTCCGTCTCCCTTTTGGGGTTTAGGGGTTTAGGATTTTAGGGTTTAGGGTTTAGGGTTTAGGGGATGACGGTGGAATGGACAGTCGGGGAGGCCATCAGCCACGGGTGTCTAATGACCCAACATCGCACTGAGGTGATGTTTGTGG